AGTTCAATTGAAAAAATCATTTCCAACTTATCTCGCGGTACTTTTTCGGCTTTTTGACGAAAATACACCCTAGTCGCCCTACACACATCCATATCTCTGACGCAGTGAGATCTTTCGAATAGATGTTCCTTTGCATTTTCGGTCGACGTCTGGCCACGTCATTGAACATTCCAATCGCGGAATTCTCAATAATGCACATGTGTACGAAACATCTGTCTTTTAGTAGGAGTTATTTCGCGACGTATCGTGAAACTTCGAAATCGGCAGAGGGGAACAGTTCGGCCGCTCGCTCTCGGTGTAGCGACTTCTCCACTCTGTGTATATAAGTTTGACATAACCAACATCACTTTATACCTGGCGGGGCGAACTCGATTTCCTGAGAGCGAAGTTGCGTTACACGCAGGTGCCGTATCCGGCGGTGGCCACGGCCCGCGAAGTATTGTTCCACCGGTGAAAAGAGTGAATTGCGTCTCAGTTACGCGCGCCGTCGGCTCGGTATCGAACGGTTAGGCACGAAACTATATTCGTATACTATCGTAGTTTCCGGTTAGGCATTGGTGTATTGCGGCGCTTCAGTTTGCACGAGAGCGTCGAGTTCGCGTCGATACGCGCGGATATCGGCGATAGCCGTGTATAAAAGATGAAAGGCTCAATGAAACGTGCGTTCCCGACGGAATTATACTGCGCATGACGTAGCCATTGTAAACGTAATACATTAACAATAGACTCAAAGCGCGCGCGGTTCGTCCGTCGAAACGCGTCCGCGCGTTGTGTGTAAATCGAGTAACGCGGCGCCCCTCCGAGTGCGCGCTAATTATAATATATATATATATACACACACGTAATCCACGATTGTCTTTTTTTCATTATAAATTGCCGTTTGCAATTTAGCACGCGGCATTGTCGTGAATTTCGAGTTGCGACTGCAAACAACGAGTCACGATTACGTCGATTTCCCTTTTTGCGTCCTAACGAGTCGTTAAAGCGGAACAATGCGAAATCGCGGTCGGTATACTAAATTATACCAGAGAATATCGTGGCACATTAGATCACAAAATATTTTGGTAATTTGTAATCGTAATTTGTGATTATTAATTTTCGATATTTCATCTTGTTATGTCGTTGCATTGATCACGCGTGATGTATGCGGTTCATTCTGCCAGATTTTGAATTTTTTTCCGATTTCCTATCAGATATTCTACTTGATGAAAAGTAATGATAATTAATATCTGAAAGAACACTCAAGCAGATATCATATTACGATGATAACGCTGTGCAATTGCACAGCATTCATTAATTGTATCATACTGAAGTGAATGCATTAAAATAATGCGTTAAAAATTGCGTGTCGTTACATTTTACTTTATCATTCGCTCGTAAAAATTAATTTTCTTATAAAATAGCAGCAGATATAACGGTGCGAACCTGATAGTATCGTTTTAATCGGTAGTTCGAAAAGAACATTTGACATATCTGTATTACGAAACTCTGTGCTCTATGACGTCTAGTTTTGCCGCATTACCTTAGAGAATCGAGAGAGTAACAAGCATTTACGTAACGCGATACCTCGCGAAAGCGCAAAGTGCAAGTCGTTCCGTTTTCTTTGATCGACGATGCGACATCAAAGCTTCGTTTTCTTCGAAGCGTGACCTTCGTTATCACGTCGACACAAACACCCATTTCATAATCTCTCTCTTTCTCTCTCTTTTTCTTTCACTTTCTCTCTCTCTCTCTCTCTTTCTCTCACATTCTCTCTTGAAAGATAGTCCTAACTATGTATTATGCTAAGTTAACACTCAAGCAACCATAGTACTGTATATCTGTGACAATTTCGGATAAAAGGAAATTAGAGAGTTAGAAATCAGTGTAATTCCGCGAAATGCAATTTTCAATGTTATAGCAATAATATGACAATTTTCAATATAATAGCACAGCAAAATACACGCGAAAAACGTATATTTGATGAAACTATGATTTCGTTGTTATATGAGGTTGTAAAAGAATTTTTATACGAGATCCTAAAAAATATTATGTTAAAGTAGTTGTGTTTAATGTAGAGTATTTCAAATACACACACATACACGCACACATACATACACTCGGATAAATGTCTTGATCTCAAATGTATTGTCTGTGTCGTTTCTTAAGGCACAGCTTGTATCGTTATTCGTTACAATAGTAGAGTTCTTAACATTATAAGTAAGAACAGAGAGATCATTTTCGAGTAAAAACCTGAATTCGCGGAAATTGCATTGTGGTTTCGACTCTCCTTTAGCCGTCGTCAAGAGGTGTCGACAGTTCATATTGTTTCCCTTAAACGGGATTTCAAATTAACGTAAACTCGATCGATAAAGGGACTCGGAGCGCTTAACTGGCACAAAGTTTTTCAATCAGCCGTGTAATCCACGTGCTTGATTGTTACATGGCTTCCGAAGGGTCGGAGAGAAAAGAGCGCTCACTCGCTGGCAAGTGTTTACTCTCTTTGGGATTTGTATATTTCGCCGAGGAAAATTGTGTTTTTTACCTAGATATCCCGAAAATACGTAAAACGCGCTAAAAATACCTGCTGTCTAAGGGCGACTTTCTACCTGGGAAATCGTCGTGAACTTCATATACACGTGGGACCGTTTCACGTTTCTCCATTTTCACAAATTTCACCTAGCGTTCCTTGTAACAAATGCGTGAATATTTCATTATAAACATTCAAACTGTTTAATCGTATCGAGCACGCCAGATCACAGCAATGCGGTGAAGCGTACACGATGAATTTCCGAGTTTGCGCTTGAAAATTACTCGTGAGCGATAACTGTAAACATGGAATAGAAAAGCCCGCCGTTTACAATCGTTTGTACAGTTCTCGTTTTGCAATTAATTGAAAAATAATTATTTTCGCTAATGACTCGCTTAAATAACGGACTAAACAGCGAAACGAGGACACGAGCAAGGGAACACCCGTGCCACTTGTTGTTCCAACGAGTTGCGGAGACGCTAGAACATTTTAATTAGTGTATACGTGTTTAGCGACAAAGTTATCCCGCGGCTTAAACAAGTACGCACGTGTGCATCTGGTAGCGTGTTTGCATTCGTGTATAGTTGTGCGCGTGTAGCTGATAGGCGTCGACATTTCTGTGTATTGCACGGTGGAAAAGTTTGCGAATATTGCCGACGACGGGACGGACGGAGTCGGCAATTTATATGTTTGTAGTTAGAGTATAATCACCCAACGATGGGTCATTAACGTAAAGCCACTCATTGCTTTATGCGCCGTTACATTGTGCATCGTTTACGAGATAATACCACATTTTATCATTATAGCGAACGATACTGTCAAATAAGTTACAAATAATGGTTATGACTCGGCAATTATTCAATTTTGATATATACTCAACGTGTTCGTTGCATATAGTTGTATCTACATAAAATTTAATCTCTCTCTCCTTCTTCCTCTATTGTGGGAAAGATATCGTAATATATTTTAAAAGTGTATTGAATTTCAACGTTAAATTCTTTTTTTCATCAATCCTCTCTCAAAATGAAGCAACGTTCCAATTATAATATTCTTTATCTCTTCGTTTGTTTGTTCACTAAGGTTTTGTATCATGCTCCTTTCGCCTTTCGGCGTCCTTTTAACGCGTATTGGAAATAACGGAAGTTTTTACAATCCGAACGCACTCGAGCGGCGAATAGTTAAAATGCTTGATTTGCGCGACAAGCAGTTAATGAACTGTCACAACGTAATTTTGGGAAGGTGCGGAACGAAATGTTATTTCCGCGAACTGGGTGGCAGTAGCGGTCGCGGCGATATTTTGCGACTCGCAGTTTTTTACGAAACGTTAATACGCGCACTATTTTGCAGGACGCGTCGCTTTAATATGTTAATGTGCGTCCCGGTACGAGCGAGTGAAATGAATTGGACTCGATCGCGGTTGCTCCGGCTCGCGTCGTATGTTCGTTTATATTATTGGCTTGGAGCAAATTGACGATGATAATCGCGTGACATTGTGATCGGAGATTGTCGACAACGCGTCGGGTAATGGGCGTTCTCGATGCGTTTATTTGTTGCATTCACGCGAGTATCACGCTGTCGATGGCTATTAATCACTTCGATCATCCGAACTCGAGCGAATTATTTTATCGCGACGCAGTACGAGAACCTGCCCGAATTCCGGCGATCTCGTCGCAATTATTATTACAATGTCGCTGACAGACAGACAGCTATCGCTAATGAATAACGTGCAATTATTTCCTCTTGAATTATTTTCCAATCTTGCGAATCTTTGAATGGATTAAACTAGATAAAAGAGGTAACTTTTTCCGCCCAGGCGATTTTCTCACAAAGCGGATTTCCACCTAAACACAAATTATTATTTCTTATTGCGCGTTTCATGCATGTTGTAACAAAAGGTTCTCGTGCTTCCTTTCATCCGTGGATTCTTTGATCAATTGCGAATTTCCTCGACAAGGATTTAATCGAATCGTCGTTTTGCAGCACAATTTTTCAACGTTCAACATAAAGCTTACCTTTGTTATAATCAGTAGAATCTTGAAATCAATTAAATTTTTAACTGCCAACGAAGCCGCGGGTTTGTTATAAATTATCCACCTCGTTTATTTATTGCTTCGTCGATTCGATTCGTGTACGTATATTCATTAGTACACGGAACGATGTTAGCATATTCATAAATGTTTGATTCGTTTCATGTTAATCACAGGTTGCAAAAATAGCTCAATAATTCCTGTGCTTTCCGAGTTAACTCACAGAAGTGCGAGTACGCGCTGATCAATAGGACATTGTCTCCCTCTCCCTCCCTCTCTCTCTCTCTCTCTCTCTCTCTCTCTCTCTCTCTCTCTCTCTCTCT